CACAGTTTTAAATGTTTGTACAATTTTATTTTTTTGTCTAGTATTTATATACTTTCAATGATCGTGTAACACCTACCTACCTCTGACTATGTAGGTAGACATGTATATATTATTTTTTACCTACCTTAATATAGGTATTTTGTTTACTTAATACTTGCATAACATTTTAAAAAGATTGAATTAGTTAAATTATAAATATGTAAAAAAATATTATTTATAAACCACTGCTGATGTAGGTAGTAATGTAGTGTACCTACAAATATAAAATTGAAAATAATTACAGGGTTTTTCAATCATCGATGAACTAGACCAGCGGTTCTCAAACTTTTTTGTTCGCGGAGCCCTTATATTCCTAAAAAAAATTACGGAGCCCCAAAAATCAGAAATGTCTATATGAGACAACTAAAATTCATAAAAAAAATGATGCCAATTGTAAATGATTTGCTTTTTATTTTTATTTTCTGTAAAATACGAATATATACAAATTATTCAATTAATATTAATTTAATTAGAAAAAAATAACATAAAATTTTAGCAATTTATTTATTTATTAATGTGATCCGTGATGTTGGCTTTTTTTATTGACCAGTATTTTTATATTTGGCTTGATAGGCGAGAGTTGAATACGCATATCTGCTTCAGCATCCAATTTATTACGATATTTCAGCCAAGTAACTAAGTCGAAATAACCAAATTTTATCACTAAGTCTGAGCTGTAAATTAAATGGGTGATCGGTGAAAAAAACGTACAATTCATTGCGCAATTCGAGTAAGCGTACAAGTGTTTTTCCCCGAGAAAGCCATCTTATTTCGGTATGGTAAAGTAGTGATTTGTGCATACTTCCCATATCTTCACACAAAATTGTGAACAGTCTTGTGCTCAATGGTCGAGATTTTACGAAATTTATAATCTTCACTGCCTCATCAAGTACATTTTTAAGAGGTATTGGCATCTTTTTAATAGCAAGTGCTTGACGATGAAGAATGCAATGACTATTACTACAATTGTTGGTTACTTCTTTAATTCGCGAAACCACGCCAGCAGTTTTTCCAACCATTTCCGTACCATTTGTCAAATGAACGAAAAACCCGACTTTTATCTAATCTCATTTTGACAATGACACAAAATATGACATATGTGGATTTATAAATACCTATTTTAAAGTTTTAAATGTTTAAATGTTTAAAATAATACATATTGGTACGGTCCAAATAGTATTGATTATAAAAATAAAAATTTAACTAAGAAATATAATAATAATTTAATAATTTAAATTTAATTAATACAGATATTCTCAGGGAGCCACGGAGCCCCTAGACTAATCTCGCGGAGCCCTAGGGCTCCGCGGAGCACAGTTTGAGAACCGCTGAACTAGACTACCAAACTAGACGTCCAAAATTGTTTTTGCACCATTCATGTGAAGTTACAACAATTTCTTTAATTGGATTTTTAAACCGTTATCTTCATAGTAGCTACCATTCCATATTAAAATAATCATTGAACACTAGTTCAATTCGTTCCTCTAAAAATAGTTATGTCTTTATTAAAAATACAATACATATATAAATGTTAGAGCATGACATTTTAGTAAGGTACCTATACCTATTTTAATTAAGAATCTTATGTTTTAGTAAAAATAAAACATTTAAGTAAGATTGGTATTTTGTTTCTATGTTAGGAAGAACCTAGACAATCTTTTTAGCTAACACAAAAGGTGTGTACAAGTACAATACACTTAGTCCAGTAAGAAATGTTCACTCTGAGGTAGGTATAGGTACCTACTAAAGTAAAAAATAAAAATAACTGTGTAGAGATCACATTCTACGCATTAATTTATTGAATTATAATAACATAATAATATTGTTTAATATTAGTTAGGTACCTTTTGGCTTTTCCTACTAAATAGTTATTTTAATTTGTTTAAATTAAATAATATAATATAATATTTAAATTAATATTATATATATATTATTAAATTAAATTAAATTATTTGATAAATGATAAAAAAAAAAGCGGGCAATTTGAAATGGGCCAATGAGAACGTGGTTGGTGAAATGTACATACATTTCATCCCCCTCCCCCCACAACCATGGCCAAATAACGACACTGCAACCTATATGTACTTTAATAGCCTATGATATTCTACCCACATTTTGTTTCTATATTCTATACCCTACAATCATTACTTTATATTTTATAAGCCTAACGAATAAAAAAAACAAATAGACGTGGTAACTAAAAATTCTTCTTTTGTAAATACGGTTTTATTTTTTCACTGATTTTCAAATTTAGGCGGAACACTTCCTCTAAGTAGGTACCGGTTAAGAGCCACTGGGCACTGGTGTAGGTCATAGGAATTATAGATCTTATAAGATATATGGTAGGAACATTAATGCGTTTCGATTTTTTTTAGCGGTTCTAAGCTTCAGGGTGCCTTAAAATTTCGTACAGAATTTTCCTTAATTTTGAGTTGTGGTTAAAATGCATCAGAATCTCTGGTTTATCAATTTTTCGGATTTCCCAACCTTGTCTTCCAAGATGTTAACCATGTCCATCAACATTTTAATTAACTGTCAAAATAAATTATTATACAGTGAGTACTGAATAGGTAATTGAGTATCATCAAAACATTTTCCTAAAAACTAAAAAAAATACTAGTTATTTTTAATAATCCATTTATTAATTAAAATGTAACCACAGAATAATGTTTTCTGTGCATTTACTTTATCACAATACTGATACCTCATGGATCATACATTGACAACATACATATTGCCCAAAAATGTACTCTGTATACTGTATAGTAAATTGTCATATTAAAATAAATAATAATATTATGATCAATATGTTAAATTAACTGATCTGAATTGATTGAAAAATGTAATAATTACAGTGTATACTTAATACTATGAGGAAAATGAAAACTGAACCAAAAAGTAGTAAAAGGTAAACATCAAACATTCTTTCAAAACAACATAAAATAATATTCTAATAAATAACACAAAATTCCTAAAGATAACCATAATACTGATTCTACAATATGTTTAAAAATAATTAATAAAATAAAATAATAACAGAACAGAAAACCAAGAAATACAAACTAATTAGGAAACTTATTTTAAAATTAAACATTCACTAGAAATTTGCTCGCTCAAACTGGTGTGGAAAAAAACCCACCTGAATGTTTGCACCATATCGTTTACATTGTTCATTATCCCGCACTGGAGTAATATGGGGATAATTTTACACCGGTTTGGCACAACAAATTTCTGATCATAAATCATACAGAAAAAAAGTATTTTCAGTTAAATTCGAATTGGACATTAATTACAAATAATTCAAATATTTTTAAAAACAATGTTATTTCCACGCTTGATTTCTCTCAATTATTTTTTTTTCAGCATCTGAATACCGAAGTATGCTTAATATAGCGTTTAAATGTCCAGTGGTATTAGAGGGATCTGTAAGATAATAGTAAAATGCTGATTTTAAGAATTGCAATGTCATTTCAGCATCATGTATTGGCCGTTGACGTTGTTGTTCCAATTGTTGTTGGAGAATAGTTTCATACATTGCCTGTAAAACACAACATAAACATTTTTTTTAATAGGCAAAGTTAATAAGAAGACACTTTTGCAAAGCTATTAGTTATCTCCAGTTGGCCATGACCAGGAAAGCCAGTGCAGTAGTAGTTATGTACACACTTTTCTACAATATCGTGTTTATCTACATAAAAACAAAAAGAAAACATACACAAAAAAACCATACATTATGTTCACTTACTAATGGGACAGGATAATAACAGAAGTAGTGCGTAAAATATATTTCACCTGGGCAAATAAAGCTATCAAATATCAATATTATAATTAATCTACAAATATTTCCACTATTCAGTATATATTTTACACAAATAAATCTACAGATGACAATCAAAAAAATATCATGTTTTTTTACATATAAATGTATTACTTATCATTGCCAAGAACTTTTATATACAATTGTCTATTATATAATATAGAAATTTCACTCCAGCCTGACAAAAATTAAATTCGGTTTTATATAAAAAATGTAATATCATGTGCAAAAGAGAACTCGAAATTTAAGTGGTGAAACTTTAATAATAATTTTATGTACTGATGTAGTTAAATAGCTCATAATCAAATGATTAATTTGTATTTTCAATAAAAAAAAAACCAAAAATATATGAATTTTATATATTTTTTGTATTATATAATTATTATATTCCATAAAATGTCATTATAAAATAATGTATGTCATAACATGACCTATTGTTGTCATATATCGTCATTAACTACTTGCCAAATAAAAATAATAAATAACAATAGACAATAGTAATAAAATCAAATATAATTTATTTTAGAAATCCACTCCAGTATAGATCAATGTACAACTCGCTTAAACTCCCATGCGTATCAAAATTAAAATGCCAATAAATTTGCACATAAGAGGGGATCTGAGAGACGAACCTTTTTCGTGCCGATCATCCAAAGGGCAATGGCCTCAGGTCCGGATAACAAAGCGCCACCAACACTTTGGCTACGTCCCTAAATTTTAAACAAATTCTAAAAAGATTCTAAACAAAAAATTGTTTACTCAAGACAAACGTGTACAGTAATAATTTGTAAAATTAAATTTCTACATGTTAGTGAACACAAACACAGGAAGGTTAGAATTAGAATATTTGAATAGAATGTAATATAGTAAAGTAAAATGATAACAAACAATATATTGTCTTACTTTGGTCTTTTTTAGTTGTAACTTAACATTACTCAGCTCATCAACACAGTCTTCAACTTCCTGACCATTAGTCTCAGTATCCTAAGTAAGTATATCAATACAAATAATATAGAATACTAGAAAATCAATAAATAATACCAACCTTTTCTAGACATACAATTTGTTGAGTTTGTGTTGGAATTACATGATTTTTGTCTGGGTCCAATTTGTATAAGGAGTTTTGAATATTTTCTGTAATAGCACCATAGAAATGTTGGTGTGTTTGATCAGTTTCAGTCTTCTAAACACCCATATAAAAGTAAAAAAAATACATTAATAAAAGTTATTTTTTTATTATTATTTTAAAAAAATAAACCTTATCTAAGTGTAATACTGATTGAGTCTGAGTAAGAACATCACAAAAAGTCTTCTTTATGTGATCAATAGTCGTTTTAGTATTATCTGGTACAGTTTTAGACCGTTTAAGGAAATCATTTTCCATTTCAAGTTCTTTGATTTTGATATATGCTTCATCAAGTAATGGTTTTAATCCATAATATCTTAAATAACATACATATCACATTACAAAATTGATATGGCTTCAAATGCAATTTGTATTATTGTTGTGTAATTACTTCATTTGTGTATGATAAAAAAATAAAATAGAAAATAATATCTTGGGTTAACGGCAGAATTAAGTTGATTGTTTTGTTGTTGTACATTTTGTAATTATTAAAGAATATAATATACATAGTGATTTATCAAGCATGATCACCCACATTTTAGATTCTGAGTGAGCAGAGCGATGAATGTATTGATTTTACAATGATGTGTATCTGTATTCTGTGTACACGACAATTAGTTGAAATAATTCTTTGATTTTCAACATCAATTTTTTATTCGATAGGAAAGTGAATCTAGTTGGTGCGTTCAGGAGGTCAAATCTTAAAATTCTCAGTAGTTTTCAAAAAAGCTGGGAAAAACAAAAAAAAAAAAAATCGATTTTGGTTTTTAGAACTCTGAGATACATGAAATTTTCACTGAATATTTAATGTTTATAATACCATTTTCTATACACCATAATATTATCTTGAGCTGTTTAAGGGCATATTTTGTATTTTTTTTTCCAAAGATGTCAATACAATTTTATTTGTTGGGTCAAAAAATTTGAAAATTGAATACAAGACTCCTAATATACAGTGTGTTCACGCTAAGAGGTACCACTAAATATCTCAGCTGGATGACTTCTGATTGAAATGGGGTTTTCAAGAGGTGATAGGGAGTACTTAAATACACATTTTCAGACCAGTTTAAAATTTTTAGCTCACTCGATACACGCATGCGCAATACAACTTACTTTTTTTTAAATGGCAACCCCAGTTTTTTAATGCAGATTCGAGTAGAGTATTTTTTTTTAAACATTTATTGTATAAAAAGTTTTTTTCTATTTTCAAAACTGACCAAGTTAGAGTAAGTCAAAAGTTGGATTTATGCATAATATGCATAATATGTGTTTAATGCAATTTTCATTTATAACCACTGGAAATAATAAAATAAGTGCCAAATAAATGTTTAATGGTTGACGAAGTGGCCGAGCGGACTAAGGCATCGGTTGCGACGCGCACCGTCGCCGGTTCTAACTCGGCCACGGGTGGCATTTTTCTTCTGGCAGTCACGGTGTCCGGAGAGAGAGGCCGACATGGTGACATCCCCGTCTGGGCATGCCAGATACCTACGTGTGTGTTTGTTTTGGCAGAATTTTTACCCGTAGGTATCTGCCATGCCCGGGTGGGGGATGTCATCCTTTCTCTCCGGACACCGTGACTGCCAGAAGAAAAATGCCACCCGTGGCCGAGTTAGAACCGGCGACGGTGCGCGTCGCAACCGATGCCTTAGTCCGCTCGGCCACTTCGTCAACCATTAAACATTTATTTGGCACTTATTTTATTATTTCCAGTGGTTATAAATGAAAATTGCATTAAACACATATTATGCATATTATGCATAAATCCAACTTTTGACTTACTCTAACTTGGTCAGTTTTGAAAATAGAAAAAAACTTTTTATACAATAAATGTTTAAAAAAAAATACTCTACTCGAATCTGCATTAAAAAACTGGGGTTACCATTTAAAAAAAAGTAAGTTGTATCGCGCATGCGCGTATCGAAAGTGTTAAAAATTTGTAAATTTGTCTGAAAATGTGTATTTAAGTACTCCCTATCACCTCTTGAAAACCCCATTTCAATCAGAAGTCATCCAGCTGAGATATTTAGTGGTACCTCTTAGCGTGAACACACTGTATTGTTACAGAATTTTTAAGTATACCCATAATTTCTATTTTCTGATATATTTTGTACTACTTAAGGAGTGTCCTGTAGCGATACAAACTTCTATTTTTAAAATGAGAACCCAAGCCTTCCTTTTTAATGCAAATTATTTAGTCTATGATTTTCTTGAACATTTGGATGTATCTATAAAATTATTCTAATGAGTAGTTTCTGAATTACTAAAATGTTTATACTAAGGATAGTAATTAATAATAATCTTTAAAAATGGTTCAACAGAAATATAACTGCTACTATACAGCGACCAAAACTCGTCTGATCTCGAGCATTCCCACTACAAAATCTGCCCATATGCTGGCCACTGCCACCGTCATTGCTACAATAAGGTGTTATAAAGTGGGAGAAATTTGGGTACGAAAACGCGGAGCTCGGTCATTTGGATGCGCCTCTCTCAGTGGCCGCAATATAGTATTTATTATACTTGGACAATTTTTACAAATTATTTATACTGATAGATCAATAGTAATTACCAACATTTTTCTACTTAACCCATTACCAAAATGGTTTGTGTAATTCAAAAACTACTCGCTCGAATTTTAATTTAGATACATTAAAATTCTCAAAAAAATTATCTGCTGAATAATTTAAAGTGAAAAAGGGTTGTTCCTATTTGAAAAACCGAAGTTTGTATTGTCATAGGACCATCCTTACGTGGTACAAAAAAACTCAAATATTTGAAAATATTGTCGTCAAGTGTATCTCAAAATTCAAAAAATCAAAATTTGAATAGATGCATAGTTAAAGCATAAAAATAGGGTGAGCATGCTTAAAAAATCACTCTGTATACAAGTCTACATAAATCATTTTTTTCTTGATTTGCTTTTTTGACAAACCAAATAATATTTGTCTTTAACTCAACCTCTGTAGCAAAAATCAATTTTTCTAATCATACAAGAGTATAATTATGTTACTATAAATCAAATTATTTCGTTCTTCATTAATTCTGACTTTGTCATTAAAAATGTTTGTTGTTTTGCAATATTATTCTTGCAAGTATATGAAAATATGACTGGAGTTTCAACAATTAATATAACCTCTTTAAATCAAAATTTGGGTAATTTCTAATAAATAAAATTAGAAGATACATTTAAGTTTTGTAGACTATAATATGAAATATACTGTTTACATTTTTACTTCATGATAAATGAGTTAGAAAATTAACAACTCTTACTTTTCATGAAGTTCTCCTAAGCGTTTCAATAGTTCTTCAATCTTATCATTATGCTTCTCGCGCAACTCGTCATAAGCTTGTCTTAATTTTTTAGCTTCATCATATTCATCACCATGTCCTGAATCTGCTGGTGATGGTGATGGATTCAAAAAACTCCTTGAAAGTTTACTAAAATTAGAAATAGAAAGAACAATTAAAAAAATTCAATAACATTTTCTATTCAAAAGAATAATTACGTTGAATCACGTTCAGGGGTTTGTTCTTTACTGGGTATGAATCTAGCTGTGTCTTCATCTTCATTACCTTCAGCAATTGAATCGTTAGCAGTTTCATAACCACATTTTACTTTAAGTTCAATATTTTCTTTGTTAAGTCGATCAATCTCTGTATCTTTATCATTAAGTTCACTGTGAGCATCATTTAGCAATCTCTAAATTATTTAATAACTATTATCATATTATTGAATATTATATGGTTAAAATGACTTTATTTTACTCTAAGATTTCTGATAGTTCGACTAGATCTCTGTGTAGGAGTAAGGTACTCTTCACTGCCTATATTTGAGGGGCAATAGTGTAAATAAGCTTTTTTGCGGCTGGAATATGTGGTGCCATTAAGAGCAAACATAGAATGGCCATTATCACACTGACTGCTGGTTGTACTGCCAAAACTTTTTTCTGATGCACAATCGTCATCTTTTTCATAAGTATTTAAAGTTTGCTAAAAATAATATTAAGAACTTAGATTAAAACACAAATCAATCAAGTTGAATAAATTAATGTATATTATGTTATTATGTTTTAATATATTTATCAAGTGTAGTGCATTTAGTACAGTATACATAAAAACCAAATAAAAATATAAATTTGTACCAGCTTTATTATTATTGTTATTAATTTCCACATGTATGAATAGGTAGTAAACATTTAGTAAATACTAAAATAAATACATACAATATTACTTGATAAGTATTAAATATTGTGTTTATTTGAAATAGTCTTTCAAATTGATTTAATATTAATTTTTATGTATGAATTTTAAGTTAATTTTTGTTTTACATAATATACCTATATTATTCTTGATAGAATTGTGTACATTAGGCTTTCATGAGCTTAGTAAAACATTTTTGCATCCAAACTAAATTTTCCAAGTGCTGACTAACATTGGATTTCATCATAATGGTCCTACAATTGGTAACATTCCAACATTCAGAACTTTATTTTCTAAAAGCATATTTCAGAACATTTTAAAAATAGAACTTCATATAAATAGCATAATAAATATATGGCTTATCTGGTTTTAAAAATATTAAAACCCTATTGTACAGTAATCTACAAGTTTATTACAAATATTATAATTCATAACCAATTAAAAATGATTTATTAGAACCTACTCTACCTAGTCCAGAACAAAAGTCTAACCAACAGATAATTAAAAATATTATATTTAGTTGAATAAAGAACAATAGAATTGAAGACACTACAAAAAAGTAAATTTCTAGGGACTACGGTTTATATATTATATATGGGTAAACATGAAAAAATATATTTGTGCATACTAAATGCAAATAGGGATGGTAGAAAAGTAGTAGTTCATATTAAAAACAAATTGTTTTGGGCATATATTCATAAAAACATTTCTATAATTTTTATCTTAAATTAATTAATATTTCTTCTTTTTTTGGTTTAATAATGATATTAATTATTATTTATAACTTTTGTCAAAACAACAATTGACAAATTTAATGTGTACTTTTACATCAAGACATTAAAAAGCTAACTTTTTTATGCTATTCATCTAATTATCTACACAGTACACATAATAAATTGGTATAATGTTGTGATTAATTAATTGATGTGAAATTATCAATAATTACTTACTTAATTTTGATATTTGACAAAACCGTTGAAATGTATGTTAATAATAATTTACTTATCATTGAAAACTATAAGTATCATTATTTTTACTGACAACCATTATGTTTATTCCTAACTAAAAGTCAACATCTTATTGTTATATATATATATATATTATTTAAAAAAAAAAATACCATCTAAATATTTAGGTGGGTACAAAATTTGTGATAACATAAACCTATATTTAATTGACTAATTAATTATTTATTTATTGATGTATATCAAAATTATTTATTATTATGTTTAATTGACTTGGTCTATATTATTATATTGTGTCGGAAAAAATAATGATCGTCTATTATCATTGAATTAAAGAAAATTTGAATAGTACCAGAAACATTAATTTAATAGTTACAGCCTTGTATGTACTTAATTTATAATATACCTATAGTTATTACTTATTATAAATGTGAAAAACAGTTTTTCACTCACTAGACTCTGGTGTCTTTGGATCTTCGGTGTCTTATTTGAGTGCCGCAACCAATTCGGCTTTGGAATACGGCTGGGAGATGCATTATTACTGTTTGACATCCTGAGATCAGACAACATTAACAATTATTAATAATAATAAATATAATCGGTACCTAACTGTTGGGATAAAAATTAATTACGATCGCACACGTCATAATATTATTAGGCAGACGACGTGGATCAGCCTTGTGTAATTTGCGCAACGCTCTACAAATATGACTGCGAGCGCTGAGAAATATAGAAAGGAAAAAGACTAAATTTTTTATGAATGTTTAAAAACTCACATGAATGTCGCGGAACTGGTAATGGTGTCATCATCACCAAATATTTATAGTACGCGACGAAATTGGTTTAGGTACATCGGATTTCATTCTGAAACCCGTATCGATCGGCATAAGTACATAATAATAACGGTACACCTACTGCACCAGTTTATTTAGATTTTAGTTTATGTTTAGTAGGCCATCATTTTAATCTTTTTTCTATGTCATAGGCATTAGGCATGAACAGGCCGATGTTTAATAATAGTATCAATAATCAATTTGGAACCGGCTTCGTAGTTCGTAATAATTTATAATAGGTATTAATTAATTACAATTACCTATAATAATAATATTTTCGACGATAAAGACGTGTACACTACGGCAATACGGTATAAACTAATAAACTATAAATATTAAATATTCGTCACGCTACTACGCTATAGTAGTTAATAATATAGTCGTTGATGGTTGTTCCATACTTCCATAATATCAATATGTGACGCGACGAGATAGATAACTACACTAGATAAGACGATAATTGGTAGTGGTAGTGGAGTTATTGTTGTTGTTGTTATTGTTATTGTCGATGCGCCGACGCGGTAAAGCCGGTAACCTCGTCGCCCCGTCGTGCGGAATCTCAAATAGGTGGCTGCCGCCTGCCGGACTGTGACGGACGACAATGGCGCATTGCGACGACTCCGGTAGTCCGGTGTCCGGTCCGTCGGTACTTCGGTAATAATTGCTGCTGTTACTTGCTGTTGCTAGCACTCGTAGTGGAGGAAATACAAAATACTAATTGCCAGACACACGTCCGACGCGCAAATACAATTTATTATAATAATAAAATGATTATATAAATAAATAACTTTGCTAGGTATGCATTTTACGTTGAAACTTGAAAGTAATAATTGTAAATCATGGTAATTGGTAGTTCGAAATCGAAGGTTATTTTATTGCCTATGTGGCTATGTGGTTTCGATACTCGGTAGTCTTTAACATATTATTTAATATAATATAAGTAGGTACTGAAGTACATACGAATACGAATACCTAATGAGTAGTAGGTAAACTCGTAAACTTATTACTAAATAGTAAATACCTATTAACTATTAACAATGTATTATAATTATAATTTAGTGTATAACACTACCTACATATTATAATTTATAATGTATAGATAATAGCCATTAAATACTTTCCCGAACTCATACGGAACCCTACGGTTTAAATTTTCCTACACATGTTTTTAGTTTAATAAATTTAAAAAAAAAGTAAAAACGTATTGAGTATGGCAGTAGATAATATTCATTTTTACACCAACAGACAGTGGTAAAAAAAAATAATTGAAAGTATACGTTTGAGACTTTGAGAGTTCGCATATCGTGAAACCAATTATGACAATCACGCGCATGACCGACATTGGAGATACCACTAGGTATATCAGGTAGGTGCCAGCTGTTAGCCATTAGGTACTTACTATTTCTACATAATAGGTATTGTACTACACTTTATAGTGCAGTAGTGCCATTCTCATTCATAGGCCATAGCTGCGAGCTGCCATTCGTTTGGTATCCAAATGGCAATTATAGAGCCCAAAACAATAATTAATATTATACAATGAATTTTACCCAGTGGGTATACAATACGCACAGATATAACTATATAAGTACGTAACATAATTGACAAAATTAATACCTCCATAACACGTTAAATAATATAGTTTATTGTATTGTATGTAGACATTTATAGTGTATACATATAATATTATAATTAATAGGTAGTATACCTACCTATATTAAAAGATCATATTCTCATATATTTTATACAAATCAAAAATAACATACGATTACATACGATTTATAGGTATAAATCTGGACATTTTGTTTCAACATTAAACATATAGGCTGCACTATATTGAGTATAATGTCATATTAATATTTTATTCGTTTTATTCTTTCTTTAAAGTATTTGATTTCTGTAACAAAAAATATACAAAATACAATAAACATAAATTGATATTAAATAAGTATTAATATATCCGGACAGCAAGACTGTAATAATATATAGCCATATTGGAATATCAAATATCAGTATTTCGAAATTCGTATTCACCTAGGTGGCTAGCCGGCTAGGTAGGTAACTACCTATACTAATAATTAATATTTTTGAACACTATATTACGGTTATAGAAACAAATTATATAATTTTGACATAAACTTACATTTGAAGGACGAACACCCCAGTAGGTATTGTTAAAATATTCACCAACTAGATAGGTAAATGGAGCATACAAAAAAGTTCCCGTGAAGAAAACCACTCGCAATGGCAAGTTCAGTTTTGCAAGAATGGGGTAAACCCACATGCCACTCTTGTAAAATACAAAGTTGATCCTGTAAATATGTTTTATTATTAATTATTATGTACATTTATGATATTTAATTTGATTAGGTATGATTAGTAAAGACCAGTACACCACCAAATACGTAAATCCCCCACGTAACCCCCAAGAATTATTTGAAACTCACTCAGATATTTTTGGGTAAATGTAAGGTACACTGCTGTAGATAACATATATATATAGACATAATAGGTATCTGGCATAATATAGTTATCTTTATTTTTGTTATACAATTTTAAAAATATCTATTATATTATGTTTAATATTTAATATATAAAATTCTCGTGTTACAATGTTAGTTACCATACTCCTCCGAAACGGCTTGACCGATTTTCATGAAATTTTATATGCATATTCAGTAGGTCTGAGAATCGGCTACTATCTATTTTTCATACCCCTAAGTCATAAGGGTTGTCCAGAAAAATATAAACTAAATAATTAGTTTATTGTTGCAGATTAAAATAATAATAGTGTATTATTTATTGGTTGCTATTGGTTAATCGGGCATGTTTGTTGATTTGTATTATTATTTTTTGTCAATATATATCTATCTATAATATAAAAATGAATCGCTGAATGTGTTGCCATACAAGGGTTGTCCAGAAAAAAAATTAATTAAAAATAATAATAGTGTATTATATATTGGTTGCGAATAACCATTCGGGCATGTTTGTTGATTTGTATTATTATTTTTGTCAATATATATATATATAAATTAATGTTTGTGTTTAGGTAAGACCTCTGGGAAGAATATATTCTAATTTAAAAAGGGTCAAATTTGGTTTTGTTTTATTCATCGGATTTTAGTACGGTTAGGTTAGGTTAGGATTTTGTATTAATTGATTATATTAATTCACCGTAGGTGGAATTGAGTAAAACCGACAAACTTTGTATAATTTTGATACTTTAGAGTTAAATCATACACTTATGTACAAACTACAAACAGCACGAGGTCCGCGATCTACCGCAGGTAGATTGCCTACCTGATAATATACTGCTGTGAATTAAGATTTGTATTCCGGTCAAAAGAAAAGTTAAAATAAATTTAGAACATCATACACCGAATATTAAATAGCGCATTGAACAAAGTTTGAGTCATATTCAGTTTGTACATTTAACGGGTATCGAAGTGCACAGGATCAGCTTATAATGATTATAATAATGTGTGATTTCTCGTCACCTTCCACTTCACTACTTTAGCATATCATATTATTTTCAATTATGTTTTCATTTTACCAGCTCCGTAGGTGTTATATATTTGACTACCGTCCATCAAAAGAATTACAGAAATTCTGGCATTCTGGACCTTCCCCTAACCTAAAAGCCAAGTATAACGTCTATGGTATATATAAGGGCAGTGAAGTTATTGTATTTATATATTTTTTTAGATGCTCATATTCATTTTCAAATCCTAAGTGAACTAAAATACTTTTCGTAAAACTGTTAATTTAGATACAATTATTTTTATTGCAGTAACATGATATTTTTGTGATTTTTTATTTTAGTGCAATATTTTAGTAGGTATAGTTTTAAAAAACATTTAACTCGATATGTGAAATAAAAATACAATAAACGCAGCAATACACATTTATATTTTATCAAAATACATTTGTTGATATATTTCTAATTCCCAAATTCAATAAAGTGATTGGTAGATAATTTGAGTAGGTATAATGTATATAGCAATGATCTGGTTTACGTCCAAATTTCAAATACTCGCCAATTACAATTTACAACTATCAATGTTGAAAGAGGTTTCAGGTTTCAGACAGGAATTTATTGTGAGTTACCAGACTGTCCAACAACATCGATAACTTAAGAAATCATTTGGTGAACAATGCGTAATGAAAGCAATGTTTATATTTAATTTTTTTCTATTGTATAATATTTAATTTATAGTATCAATTTATTATTACATTATTTTTATTTTTTAAAAATGTATAAGTGCAATTATGTATAATGTATATATATTAATACAATAATGCCATCAATTGAATGTGTTTTTTTAATGCGATAACTTTACTCTTCTAGTACCTACCTAATAATAACTATAATAATCATCCATTAATTCAATTTAAATTTAGTAGTGATCTACCTATTTAATTTGTTTTTAATTCACAAAATGTTTATAACACAATTCATCATAGGCAGTCAAGTATTAATTAATATTTCATTACGCCTATTAATTTTAAAATATTATGAAATATCTAAATATGGCAAATGTCAAACTATGTAAGATACCTACTATATTATTATTATAATTCTAAAGAAGGAATATAAAGGATTAGGATCGGAAGACATATGATTTGTTTTACCATTATGGGTTATTTATAAAAATATTTCTTGAAAAATTGAATATTAAATAAATAGATACGTTAAATAGTTAAATCATTTAAATT